CACAGATTCGCAGTGCCTCTACTTCATGGCACTGAATTTTGACAGTGGTGGTGGTATTGAAAAGTAACTTTGAGACAAGAAAAATGAATGAAAAATGATATTATTTTGGGGAATGTTGTACAAAACAAAGTTTGATCAGTTGACTGAGTGTACAGAGCTGAACATGCTTACATTAACGAGAAACGCCGTCAGTGCAATGACGCGCCACCGAGATCTAAGTGTGGCTTCTTCAGAGTAGGTTCGAAATTCTAATAATGCTTCCTAGTTGCCAGACTACGAGTAGTGCTAGCTAGATTGGTGGCTCTCTGCCCCCTTGTCAACGCCAGCTCCGCGTGCGGTCGCGTACCAACATCCCCTGTTGGCGGCGTGCGCGAAAAACGAGGCGCTTCTCTAGGTATCATCATCATCGTTTGTGACATCACGGGTAGGACAGACTGGGACAGACCGCGCAGATCTTGGATCCCCCGGCTCGTCGGCTCACTTCATGTGCTGTTTGGGTAATGCGTGGCAAAGCCTGTTTCACGCATTGTTTTTATTTGGTGAAGTGATATTTCTACTAGGACATTTTACCAAATCTTGAAACCATAGCACGCGTAGTCGTGCTAACAAACACTTTTGGTGCTAAGATGTTGGAGCGCTGGGATGGTGGTGTGCTGTTCTCTACCCCTGTACAAAAAGCTTCATTATGAAAATAGAATATCCAGCGCTTTACCCCACTACAACATCTACCACGACGAATAACGTGTATTTTTAGTTATGATTCGGACAAAATCAAACTGAGAAAGCAATGTCTCATCAAATTGAAAATAGAAAAGTGGAATTCGAGAACCTCTTGCGTGTGTAGTAAACACTTCTGTGAAAGCAACTTCATGTATTGTGTTGGTTCCAATGTGGTTGTGAGTGGTTCTCTCTTTTCAAGTTGATTCCTTTTTTTTAATTTTGTAAACCAGTAAACAAACATTTCCTCAAAATAACTGGCAGGAAGAAGCGGTGGCTGGGCTCTGGAGTCGTTTCAACTAAATACCTGGTGGCGGGTTTGAATCTCGACCGAGGTGCCCGCAATATGACGGAGGCTTATTGCGGAGAAGGCGCCGTGTAACCGAGCTTTCGGTTGCACGTCAAAAGATCCCCAGGTGGTTGAAATTAATCCTCAGTCCTCCGCTGGGGCGTGCCAGATGCCCGTCGTAGGTTTGGCATGTAAAACCCCCCCCAAAGTTTCAACAAAATAACTGATTATTCACCTGGTCGACGCGAAACATGCGAGATCCCCTTGCAATCGAAGTTTTAAATCTACTAAGTCAGTGACGTCTCAGCATCCCAAAAAATTAGGTATACACCTGCTATGAATTACTACCGTTTGTATGTTTAATTTTGCGGACCCAAATGGCGCATAATGCGCTCGCTGAAAAGCGATGCGCTTTTCAGCGAGCGATTTTAAATTTGTAAACAAATCTTAGTAAAGCTTGGATAGAACAAATTAAATAAATTGCCTGAATTTGCTGGGCAATGTGCAACAATTTCAGAATTTATTAAAATTTGTTTGTTTTTTCCAGCAGAAGTCGCAATGTGACAAACTTATTTGCTATGTATTCTATGCAGGAGGAGCTAAGCATCAGTTGCTGACGAGTAACTGTTGGGTCAGACTTAGATAGGAGCGTCTGTATCGGCAAGCTCAATGTAGCTAAAACAAGTGTTCGGCGCTTTGCAACGCAACTGTGCGTGAGTGGACAGCTAAGAAGACAGCACATCATTTACTCTAGTGAATAGCCGCCTCGGTGGCTCCGAGGCGAGAGCGCTGGCCTACGGATCCCCAGGTGGCGGGTTCGAATCCTGACCGAGGTGCCCACAATATGACGGAAGCTTATTGCGGAGAACGCGCCGTGTAACCGAGCTTTCGGTTGCACGTTAAAAGATCCCCAGGTGGTCGAAATTAATCCTCAGTCCTCCGCTGGGGCGTGCCAGATGCCCGTCGTAGGTTTGGCAAGTGGACCCCCCAAATTTGATTGCTCTAGTGCAGTGGTTCTCAGCCATTGATGTTTCACGGACCCCTTGTGGATCGGCGGAGATGACGGAGGACCCCGTTTGTGGTGAGGGGAAGGGAAAGTAATAGCTTAATTATGATAGTGATTTAATAAATAGATATGACTAAGGGCTAGTGTGAAGTAGACTTCTATTATAGACATATACACAAGAAAGCTCATCTGAAAATTGGAATGTTTCTTCTCAATATGAGCAAAGACAACTTTTATTGCCGAACTTGACTGATGAGGCTGGGCTTCGCGGACCCCTAGAATGACTTCGCGGACCCTTTGGGGTCCGCGGACCCCCATTTGAGAACCACTGCTCTAGTGAATGCAAAACCTTTTTCTACAGCAGTCTCCATAGATCTGAAAAAGCGAGAATCAGGCTGTGAATAGGCCTGATGCCTGCCGTGCAAGCTGTAATGTGAAGCTCCAGTCTTGTTTTGGAACATTTTAAAGTTTTTCTTTTAAATATAAAAAGCAACTTCTATACTTTGTTTCACGATAACCTGGCAAACTGTGAAGGCTAAGACCCCGTGACCCAATAAGAGCGTCGGAGCGAAGCACGTGACCCGACGTCACAGGAGCATTTGTGTCACCACGCCTAATGCAAGGCCCGGAGACACCGGCTGTCGTCTGCTAGCCAAGAGTCGTCTGCTCCGAAACCAACCAACTTCGAATGAATGTTTACCGCAGCAACATATCTGTCCGCTAGAATAGCGAGCACTTCGGGAGCAGTTCATGAGGCAACCATAGAATCAATTTAGCCGCGAATCTTTGACGGGTGCTAATGCCAGGGTACAGTGCTATGTTTTGAGGGGAAGCGGCCGATTACACGACTGCGATTGCCAACGGCCACGGCGCTACAAGGTGAAAAAAATCAAGCGTATGCGAATGTGGTGTCACTTTTTTGTTTAAATATAATTGAAACTCATAAAGTTGTGATTATTTATTGTTTATTCTTCATAGCTTCTCGTTATAGATGGAATCACGCAAGTCCAATTGCCGTTAAAAGAAAAAGAAGCTTAGAACTACTTTTTGTCACGGAGGGCTCTGTTGCTGTGGCGGTAACGAGGCCCCGGTGGCCTCGACCATGGAGTGTTACCATGAGCCTTGCTCCGGCGCCCTCATTGGGTCGGAGGAGCCGCAGCCTCCACAGTTGGTCAAGTTATCGTGAAACGAAGTATAGGAGCTGTTATTCACAAGGAAGATCACCCACGAAAATGTCATACACATTTCTTTAATAAATAAACCGTTTTAATCGGCAGCGATGCAATCTAACATAGCCATCCCATACTTTGACATAACATGTTGTCTGCTCACATCCTACCAGTTCCATCTCAGGAGGGCGCCTGCGAGGTGGTGCCACCAAAGCATCTCGTCGCCAATAGCGTTGCAGAGGAGTTTCGTAACCAGTAGCGTATTGAAGGTATCAAAATTGCTCTGCGCTTCCAGTGGGGCAACAACACGTGTTGTAAAACTTATACATTGAGCAGGCAGTTTTAAAAACAGTATGTCACGGATTTCTTTTTTCCTTTTTTCTCGTTCTGCTTTTATGAGTTTTTTCACCATTCATTTCGCACCATCAAACTTCTTGTAGCCCGTCGGGAGCAAGCTGTACTGCCCAAATCTGGGCCAAGCTCGTTGCGTGTTTGGTGCTGCCAGCAGAGCCTCAAAGACATTGTGAAAAAAAATTGACCTGTAATTTAGGCTACTGGTTCAGATGTGTCTATTAATTAATGTATTGAACCAATTTTCAGGCAAATCAGCTACTACAAAAATTTCGACCAGAGTTGCCCTTTAAAGGGCAACTGTGGTCGAAAACAAAACCAAAATAAATGACCGGTATTGCTTTAGTGGCATGGATTATGATCACAGCCGGAATATTGCGTCAAAGTGAAGCCGTGCACCCCACTAAGACCGATTTTAAAAATGCGACCAGTTGCTCTCTAGCGGGCGGAAAGCAAGTTAGCTTTTGGTCAAGCAACACTGGGCAACGCATACTGCAGCACCCCCGTGATGTCACGTAGCGGTGGTGCTGCAGCTGATTCCGCATGTCGTACCGCATACCAAAGCACCATGGTGACGTCCTGTTGCGGCCATACTGCTGATGATCAGTGTTCCCATCCCTCTGGAGCAGATAGTTGAGGTTTCACCGTAGACCCTAGGAATCAAGCTTTGAGCCGTGATGTTTATAAAACTAAACACATAATCCGGAGAAGAAAAAAGAAAAAAAAAATTATACCTTGTAATTTAGGGACACTGACTGGGCTGAAAACAGTCTTAATCCCAAATTGGAAAATATTGACCAAAGTTGCCCTTTAAGAACCCAGTTAATGCTTCGCCTAGAGCAGGAGCTTTGTACCTTTGGTATTGCTTTGCAGCAAGCGTAGCTAATGCAAGGCGGATTGCAACAAGTGCAAACTGGAGGCAGAGCGTCTACTGGCTTCCTAGCCTTTCACCTACTAATAGTTCTACACATGGGTACAAATCTACAAACCCAATGCCCAGCACGTTGCTCATGTGCAAAGACCAAATTGTATCTACAATTGGGGATAGCATGGGGAACAAAGAGACGCTATGCGTTCACCAGCGAGAGCATTGGTGGCCTTGGCAAACAAACCGGGCTGTGGTAGAATTTGACAGAGTAGTCGCAGTGGAGAAGATCTGCTGCCAAGTCTCATACTTTCTTTGCAATGCGTCTGCGTAAGACCCTCAGTGTTCAAGTTTGTGTCTGCAGTCCGTCGGTGTAGGTTGGCACAAATGTCGACGGGTGATGCAGACATTGATCCAAAGTGATTTCAGCTGTCAACAGAAAAGAACTGCCCCATGGAAAACTGGGTACACTTTTCCTGTTGTTGATGGCTGTACGCGTCTTTGTTTCACCAACTCGTTAAGGTCGTTTTGATGAACTAGCACAGGAAGCCTGTTGAGGAACTTAGCAGTGCAACTACGGTTTCCGGGTGTCGTAACTCGCAGGTGGGTCAAGCAGCCAGGAGCCATGACGGAAGCACCCAACGAATTTCGGCTCCAGCAGTCGCCCACAGACGCCATTTCGTCCCTTCAATTTGGGCCCAACTCAAACCAGTTTCTGCTTGTCTCTTCCTGGGACTCGAACGTGCGGCTGTACGACGTCGTCAGTAACACTGTGCGTCTCAAGTACAGCCACAAACGTCCAGTCCTGGACTGCACCTTTCAGGTAGTCCTGCGACCTCTTGCAAGAATCATTCTGCTCTATCTACCCAGTGTTTTTTTTAGATAGAAAATAATTTTAATTACTCGATTAAAGGGCGAAGTTAGTGACGCTTTGCGAGTAGCCGCTTTCATTCAACTACAGTTCATGAGGTAAAAACAAGTACAGACTGCCATACCTATTTTGATGACAGCCTATAGAGCCTGGATTGGAATGTGCAAGCTATCACAAATATTTACCAAGTTAATTGTGAATGGCAAGTAATTACATACCTAGTTTGCCAGTTGTCACCCCAGCCACTAGACCACTAGACCCAACCTGTCGAATACACTATTGATGGGAATATTGACTCTATGTACAGGTACCAATGTTTCCAGCTCATTTTAAAATCTTTTTTTTTTTTTCATTGTGCTGCCTTATATTTGTGCTACTATACTAAATATAAATTCTCTTTGAAATCTATCGGGAAAGTTTCTGAACCACATTTCTTGGAGCGTTACAACATTTCTCGTTCCACATTGTTTATTCTGCAAAGGTACAAGATATTGGGAGTGATTAAAAAAAAAAAAGTAAACCTTTCTGAGAAAAGTTTAATCTGGATTTTACGTATCGTCACGCCAATACGCTTAGTTGCTTGATTTTGGTTTTCACAGCTCACTCTGGTTGGTGCAATCATTGCTCCAACCCTAAAACAACTTATATTTATCGCTTTTATTTAGTTACTTTTTTTATTTGTGTATACTGCAAGCCCAAAGTGTCCCATCGCGTTTGAGAATATACGCCCCAAAATAATGGTAGCAAAAAAAAGAGAAAAGATTCTTTTACTTTAAGTTAATAAAACAAAGTGTCATCAACACCAACAGTCTGGATACTTCATCAAAAATACTGTAATACCAACAGCATTATGGGACACTACGCAAAATACAGAAAGTTTGGGAGTAACCGCAAAATACAATGCGAGTAACTGCAGAATGCAATGAACTGTATGCCACGTTCTGCGGTGAAACATAGGCGCAACATCAGCCTGTACTTTGCCCCGTTCAGCCCCAACCATGTGCTCATTGTGACAAACTGTACTTCCTACAGCGATGCCAAATGGAAATAGAGACGCAAGTATATATTTTTAAAAAAAAATAAGAAGGAAAGTTAGTGTGGTAGCATACCCGAACTTGAAAGTTGGTCCCTCCCTAGGATGCAGTGCACGCCTGGAGCGGAGGGGTGGACTGCCAGGTCAAGTCGTTTGACTTCAACTGCAGCGCGGAGACGGTGGTGGGGCAGCACACAGCCCCCGTGCGCTGCATCGAGTACTGTCCCGACGTCAACGTGGTGATCTCGGGCAGTTGGGACTCCACGGTCAAGCTGTGGGATCCCCGCTCCCCGACCAACGCCGGCACCTTCAACCAGGCCGAACGGGTACTGGCTCTTGAGTGTTGTTGCTGGACTGCCTTTTCGAAATTCATTCTGGCAACTTTAATCACTATCATCATGTATGGCTTCTGTACAAGGACGTTTAAGTAGGGCAGGAACTGGCATGACATCATGCCCAGCGACGCCGGAAAGAGAACTTGATCCCAGACTGCGTTGCACACCGACGCGCTCTCATCCAAGCTTCCATCGTCTTTTCGCCGCTCGGTCGACTGCGTTAGGCTTAGGCTACGTCTGTTCCGCGCCGGCGGCCTGCTTCGTTTGCCCATTGTCGCTGCTGACTTTCAATATGATCGGTGAACCAAAATAGGTTTCAATGCGAACGCGCATTCTTATGGCAGAGGGAAATGAACACCTACTGGAAGCAGGGCTTGTATGACTTTTTCAAGCCGCGCTATGACGACTCGCTCTAGACGACGCTCTCGGCGCTCTGTCAAGAGCGTCCGCTACAGATGGGGAACTTAGTAAAAGAAAAAAGACACATGTAAAGGATTGTCTCAATAGCCGACAGACTGAGGGAACATTTCGTGGCCACGCCTACTTCCGTTACACTTTCAGGGGTGGAACGGCTACGCCATTTGCGCCATTTTGCGCCAGACGCATTTGTCTGCGCCATCCTGCGCCATGTTTCGGAAACTGCGCCACAGTCAATACCTCGCGCCATTATGCACCAAATTGGAAAACGTGCGCCAAAAAAATTGTATTTTGTCTTGGTTTCGGTTTCTATCTACTCGATTGGCAACAATGATCGCGTTTAGCTTGTTCGGCCTTGCAATCCTTTTTTTCTCTTTATTCTCCCTGTGTATCCCGAGTAGGAAGTGTGCGAAAAAAACTCGGGGTTCGGATTCCAAGCGCTACACCATCTGCCTCTGGATTGTTATTCTTCAACCATAAGCGGTTAAACAAGTCGGTCGAGGTAAGGTCGAGTCGTTAAGCGTCAGATTGCCTGAGGCTCCGAAGCCCGGGATCCGGACGTCAGTCAGTTGAAAACAAATGAGCAAAAGATTCCTTTGAGCACTTCATCGTTAGAAGTTGGAACCACATTCCTGCAAGATAAATCGTGATTTGATAGATCTGAAACGCAGTCCGATCCGAAACCTTGCCGGCCAGCAGCTCTCAGGCGAGCGGTAGATCTGCTCGGCATACGTTAACCTTGCTCCTGCTTATCGCTTTGAATACGATAACTCCGTTAATCGTAGTCTGCTGCTTCGATATTGAGTTGCACAATAGGATAAACTCGAATTTTGTTGCGATATTGAGTTGCGCAATATGAGAAACTCGAAATTTGTTTCCCTGTTCTTCCGTGCAACTGCACGTTCGTTGCTTACGCACGTCACGTGGTTCGCACATAAAATCACTCTGTCGAGGACGTGTGGACTGTGCGATAAGCGGTGCTGGTTTGCATTTTGAGCAGCTGAAAGCCACTCAGAAAATATCAAGGCTCACAAAGTTCCAAGTTTTCGCATCTGTTACACTGTTATCCCATCTGCCTAGGTCCCTAACCACTCATGTTTATCTGGGCTGCTAAGCACAACTGAAATTGCTCCCGTGCTTGTCTAAGACACAAGCTGGAGTGCAATGAAAACTGATCTGAGAGCTGCTCCTAGCCTGCTCCAGAGTGTAGTTTTAGCTGCTCCCAACCTGCTCCAAAACAGCTGTTTTAGCTGCTCCCGTGGCTGCTCCCAAGCACATTTCATGAGTTCCACCCCTGACTTTGCTTCATGTATGGCGAATACGGACGCCGCCTTCTACGCACTATAACCTCCTTGCATCTGTACCAAACTTATGGCGGCCTTGTTGGGGTTGGTGAAGCAAGAATTTGAAGACACTTACGAGCAGAGAACTTATGAGGCCTGTTCGTTCCCGACGTCGGTACAACATGACACATGAACTAGATACAACGGTTCTGTAAGCGTTTATTTTGGAGTTTGGTCCAATCAATCTCTTGGCACGAGTCTGGCTCTAAAGCCTTTTAATGACGGAAATTTAGTCAAGGGGCTTATGGGTCGCTGCTTTGTACTGGTGAGTTCTTATGTTCACACCATCGAAACTGAAACAAATCGAGAAAACATTATTGGTTGATTGATGAACAAATTTTTATCTACCATTGACCTGTGAAAGAGAAAATGCCCGATAAATACCGTTTCATGATTGTCATTAGTTTGTCAAAAGTGAAACTGCTTTTTGAGCCATCAGATTGCACTGAATTTGGAAAAGGGTCTACGCAGGTGTTGAAAACAATAATTAGTAATATAGGTGGCTTGACTCATCGACTGTCTTCAATAATGGGACCAATCTACCTAGATGTTGCGGGTAAGACAATGTCAAATGCCCTCCTTGTTGAGTGCAGACTTCTCCCTCGTGCCCCGTGACACCCAATGGGATGGGAAATTTTGTGCATGAGTGACTTTCCTTTTGCGAAACTAGGTTGTATGTCGCCGTAAGGTAAAACCTAGATGTGCGACGCCACACTTTCCCACATAGTGGACATCATTTTTTAACCTGCGCATGTGACCTTTGGTCCACTATTTGTTTTTTCGATTAGCGATTTGAGAGTAGTTTCTTTCATTTCCCCTTGTTTCTTTGAGATAAACTCCGAAGAACTATGTAGTGCCTTTCACGTCATGGCTTGGGGAGTAATAGAGATACTCAGCTTCTAGTTGACGAGGGATCACTGCTAATTGATGTACATAACCCCGTTTCAACAAATACTTTTTTGTTTTTTTGTTTTTGCTTGCGGACTGCATGGACAAAGACTCGGGTAAATTGGGGTTGTGGCCCGAGGCTATTTCGCTGAGTGGATCTAAAATATGCAGTCCCGCATGGGAGTAGGACAGGAAGGTGCGAACCCTGTGGGGGATGTCGTCGAGCAAGAGTTTGTTGACGTCGCAGGTGTACACCATGTCGGTGTGCGGTGACAAGCTGGTGGTGGGCACGGCCTTGCGCAAGGTTCTCGTCTGGGACCTGCGCAACATGGGCTACGTCAAGCAGCGGCGGGACTCGAACCTCAAGTACCAGACGCGCTGCATCCGCTGTTTCCCCAACCAGCAGGGCTTTGTGCTCAGCTCCATTGAAGGTGGGCCTTCCGCTTCTACGGCTTGACTCGCGTCTTGAAAATATCTCGATTGATATCTCATTGTCATCTTGGTAAACGCGAAATGTCTCGCACTCATCCAAGTTGACAAGCTCACCGAGCTACGCCGCTTAGGCGACTGCTCGCCACAAATGCCAGCCGCCATGTTTGTTATTGTTCAACATCAAAGCGGAAGCGGTGGTCTTGTGATATGTTTTCAAACAGCAATTGCTCTATTTAGATCACTTGTTTCTCAAACAAAAGAATATATCGAGCAAAACACTACCACAGCATGGAGAAACAATTTTATAATCAACATTCCACATGTCAATTATCTCCAGCCAATTGGAGCTGAGAAGTGGTGCTTAGTAAACTAAGCATCTTTTGCTACTGGGCAGGACCTAGAGTGAAGCTACCTTCACCTAAATTGCATCTCGTAGCACAAAGATTGCGCTAATTTGTTTTTCGTAAAAAAGTTATTTTGTGACATTTGTGTCCCAACTAGGCACTTCAGAATCTTTTTTGAATGGAAAATTTTATTTTGTGACGTACATATCCCATCTAGCCACTTGAAAAAAAATTTTTAATGGAAACATTTTTTGTGTCGTATCTGTCCCTCCTAGGAACTTTGCATTTTCTTTTATTAGAAAATTAATTTTTTGATGTAGTGTCCCATCTAGGCACTTCGTAATATTTTTTACAGCGGTAGCTTCTTGGCAAAAAATGCTCATGTATGAACGAAAAACTGAAAAGCTGTGTCTGGTCCGAAGTGCCCAGACGTGCCGGTCGTGTATCAATCCGCAAGCGCTGCAGACGCGTGCAACACAATCGTCCTCCGTATCGTCTGCTTCCCAGACTTTGGAAACACATTTTAAAACATCGCTCGCGTTATAAACAGTGTGATTACACTGCACCCAGTGACTACACATAATGTTCAATGGTCAAGGGACCTTCCAGTTGGTTCGATTGTAGTGTAGGATGTATATTTCGCAAATGCAAAGTGAGAAACATGCTCTGCCTAAAACTTGGCACCTGCAACCTTCATGCGGGAAAGCGACCGCTTTGTGAAGGTTGGATCCAGCTCGCCGCACAACATTGCTTCTTCGCCAATACGGAGTTGGCGGCTAAAGGAAAAGGAATGCAATACTCTGGCTCTGCAAACAGAGCCTATACGGTTGCTCTAATGTGTCGCATCCAGGAACTTAAGAGACAGAATATTTTGATTTTACTATTTACCATAAATAATTTAAATTTTTAGTTTATGGTGGTCAATCTTCTATTTATAAATCTGGTATTAGTTTTGATATGTCTTTTTTTTTTTTATGTTCTGGGTGTAATGCACATGGCAGAAAGAAATTGTTCTTGCACATGCGCGATACATGGCAACGCACTTAGAAGAGCCTAGTAAAATACTAAGCTAATTTGCTCCTTTTAAAGGGATACTACAACGAAATTTCGGCGCTTATTTTTTGGCCTATATGTGTTGAAAGGAGCAGTATCACATCGAACATACCAATATCTTGTTAAAAAAGCCTTGAAAAGGAATTTTAAAACGAATTAAACGATTAGCAAAGAGCACCTGGTAGATGTCGCTAACGCCTCGCTTTTAAAGAACCTTGACAGTTAGTGACGGAGATTGTCTCGCCTCCGGCCACAACGAGAGAAGAGGGGAAGGAGGAACTCCCCTTTTCCGGAGAATGCCTTTTGTGTGTCGCAGAAGTCACTATTGTCCCCCTACAAGATTATAGAAGATTAACCCGTCACTCAACATTCGTACAAAAGCAGCCGCTTCGGTGGCTGGAACGACTAGGCCATCCTCTCGACGTCAGCCTCGCCGTAGCTTTGCTCGTCCCGAGACGACCTACGTCACGATTGCGTTGGTTGTCACGTGGTCTCCGCTGGGCCGTCTCTGAGCGCTTGCCAGGGTGGGCCGTTTATAACGAAAAATACAGCCACCAGGCTTAAAATACAAATGTGCGATGGTCATTTACGGATATTGTGGATCATATTCAACCTATCTTTGGACACGACGGGAATATTTCAAATTTCGTTGAAGTATCTCTTTAAGCCTTTGCCAACTCATTTTTTTTCTTCAAGGAACGTACAGCAAAATCATGTTTTAAATGGGCAATTGGCATTAAAATTAGACAAAAACATTTTTTCGACTTCCAGGTGTTATATCTTGCTCTAAATCGGGACTTCTGACCAGAGTCCCACTGACGTGCAGACGCCGAAGTTGATAGAATGCTTGCAGGATTCACATTGTTTTCATCACTCCTGTCACTGCCCATCAAACTATTGTCTGATTTCTAAAAATTGGAAAGGCTGAAGGATTCGTTGTCACATATGCCTGAGCATTAATCCCTTTTAAAAAGAAAGTTTTGAATCTCTTTGTTGGCTAAAACGGACCCCCCGCCATAGCCATGTTTTTTTAGCGTGAACACTCACGAGCGACTGCTTTTATTTTTCCTTGGCTAAATGGAGTGTTCTCTGTCAAACAGCACAACAAACGAGCAAACAACCCAAGGTAAATGGAGCAACAGGGCTGGTTTTGCCATCTGCCAGAGAGCGCTCTAAACAAGCGCCGAAACCAAAACACGAGTTACACTCGTAGTCGGGCTTTATGGCCCGTAATAATGAGTTATTACGGACCATAAATAATTAATCATTATTAGTAGGCGAGGGGTTAAACAACTGAGTGCAATGAACAACAAAAATAATCTGTATGGAACCTATTTCATTTTAAAATAATTGAAAATCACAAAAAACAGTTTTAAATGGTTAAGGAAAGTTTTTTAAATTTTCATAAATATAAAAAGTATACATTCTAACGAAACCTAGATATTTGCACTCTACATATTCTAAAGGATATGTATGCCAAATCTGATTGTGACAGGACAATATTAAGAATAAAAATACTTGAGCACAAACTGTGAAGACGCCCCAAAATTACAAAAATATAAGAATGTGTTTGAATAATACCATAGATGTGTAACAACACACTTTTGCAGCTGGAGAGAAAAAAAATTGTGAAAAATAGAAGCTGGAGAAGAATGCATGGAGAGTAGACGGCTAGGCCTACTTCTCAAAATAATGTGACGCCGGGCGACGTCACAATTTGAAGAACCGCGCGCACGGAAGTGGCTCAAATATATGCCCTTCTGGATTGCCAGGAGTTCTTTAAAGGCGTATTGACTAATTTTGCAATCATAACCGGTCCTGATTATATGAAGATTCAAAGATAATAAAACACCAAAAATCCAAAATCACATTGTTTTCAAAATATTGCTACTTCAAAAAAACTTTTAATGGAAAATTTATTTTGTGACATTTGTGTGTGTCTTGGCACACATTTTTTTTATGGAAAATTCATTTTGTATTGTATGTGTCCCATCTAGGATCTTTTAATTTTTTAAATGTGATTTGTGTGTCCCCTCTAGGAGCTTTCCTTTCTTTTAATGGAAGATTTATTTTGTGATGTTGTTGTTCTATCTAGGCACTTTAAAATATTTTTAAAGTGAAAATTTATTTTGTGACATGCCATAAAATACCGGAGAAGCGCCCACCCCCCTTCCACTAAAAACTGGGTTAATCTAGACATGGGTGCTTGTCCGGACAAATTGGGTGCTTAACATATAATTTGTTGAATTCCCAAGTTTGAAAAATGTTAACCGTGGGCGCTTCCTCAATATTTTATCATATGTTTTCCATCTAGGAACTTAAAAGCTTATAATGAAACATTTATTGCGTAACATTTGTGTGTCATCTATAGTCGGTGACAGGTCAAGAACGAAGTGGAAGCTCCTCCCACCTCTTTCCACATGAGTAGAGCGAACACTGGAGAGGAGGGGACCTCCTCTCCTGTGTTCGCTGGTGAGAGGAGCTTCCACTTCCTTCTTGACCTGTCACCGATTATAGGCGTAAATTTTTTTTAATGGAAAATTTATTTTGTAACATATATGTCCCATCTAGGAACTTTAAATTGTTTTAGTGAAAAATTTGTTTTGTGATGTATGTGTCCCATCTAGGCACTTTCAGATATATTTTGAGTGGAAAATTGATGTTGTGACGGACTGTCGGGTATGCATAGAATGCGAGCAGCGGAACGTGTGGCCACCGATACATGCTGCGCGACCTAGAGGCAACTAGACTCTGATAAAACCAGGGAGTGGCTACAAGGGTATGCACATCAGAGTAGGCGCGCACCCTCGGAGCCCTTTTCCATCCCGTAGTTTTATCAGTTACTAGTGCCCTCTGGGTACCACAGCATCTATCGTAAGCCACGCACTCTGCTGTTTGCATTGCTTGCATTCATACTCAGTAGTACATCTCTAGGCACTTTAAAAAAATAATTTAAGGAAGAAATTTTTTTTGGTGACATATGTGTCTCAAAATATTTGTTTTATTTGTTATGTGTTATGGTTATGGTTATTTGTTATGTGTCTCAAAACTTCAAAATATTATGTTTTAATGGAAAATTCATTTTGTGTCATGTGTCCCATTTAGACACATGAGAGCCCACCTACTCAGAAAACAATTTGCGGCTTGAAATTCACTTTCTTTCTACCTGAAAACCGCTGATCGAGAACTGGCCGGTTTGAGTCGCACTCCCTCTCTTCACTGTGGTCACGTGCCGTTTTCCGTTTTCTATGGTTTAAACACAACCACCAAATACTACAGTCAAAGTGGTGGGTCATGAAGGCACAGACTTAATAATAAAAATAGAAAAAGAAATATGATACCCATTTTTTGTGACTTCTAAAAAACCGCTAATACATTGATTGAAATAAAAAAAAATAAAAGTTGCGGAGTCAAGTGACTTTCGGCCAATGCTCTCCTCCTCTATATTTCTCCTTCCTCACCAGTCCAGTTTTGGTTTTGAGCAGTTGCGTTTTTTTACTTTATTGAAAATATATCTGACACCAGTGTGTCGAACCGAAAAAAATACGGGTTCGGTTACGGTTCAGGTTCAGGTAAATTTATTTTGTTCCGGTTCAGTTCCG